AGGAGACAGACTCGTCAAAGGTGACGTCACGAAAGTGGAGGAAGCGGTGAGACGGGGGGTGGTAGAACAGCCAGTCAGACGAGTCGAGGGGGAAACCAAGGAAGACACAGGGGACCGTGCGGGCAGTGAGCTTGTCCGTGCCAGAGGCACGAACGTGAGCAAGACAGCCCCAGACGTGGAACGCAGACGCGTCACCAGGGGACCTGGTCCAGAGGAGGGTCGGCGAAACCTGTGGCCGCTGAGAGCGTGGCCACAAGTTAAGCTGGTGAGCAGCGTAGCGAACAGCGAACGGCCACAGAAAATGGGGGGCATCAGCATGAAACATGGAGGTACGAGCAACCTCCATGACCAAGCCAATGCGGCGCTCAGCAACCCCATTCTGCTGTGGCGAGTCTGACAAGGTGTACGTCTGGGTGATGCCCTCCGCACGACAGAACTGTCCAAGCCGACCAGAGGCGAACTCGCCGCCACGGTCAGAGTGGAGACACAACACGGGGAGACTGCAGCAAAGACACGCAGCCACAACCCACGGTAGAAGAACGTCGGGCACGTCGGCCTTCCGCTCCAGAGAAAACACCGTGGTGTAGCGCGTGTAATCATCGACGAGCACAAGGAAGTAGCGCTCACCGCGCGGTCCGGGGACGGGGGCAGGGCCCCAGACGTCCAGGTGCAGGGTCTGGAGGGGGGCAGTTGCAGGCCGCAGCGAGGAGGAGTGAGGAGCACGGCAGAGGCGGCCCTCGACGCAAGGCGTGCACGGTGGCGCAGTCGAGGGAGGAAGGGCAGGGAGCGACGCGGGGAGACCTAAGACAAGACCGTGCTGGGACATGTGACGCAGACGAGGGAGAGCAGGGTGACCTAAGCGGTGGTGCCAGAGAAGGGACGGGTGAGTGAGGGAACGACACGAGCAAGCTGCAGCGACCTGGGAGGACGCACCAACCGGTGGGGAAGCGGTGTCGAGGGTAAACAGACCAGACACCGGGTCCCGCGGGAACGTCGCAAGAGGGGAACCTGAGACAGCCTCAGAACAGACAGCGAACCGCTCGTGCCCGGGGAACGTGGTGGTGACGCCGAGGTCCTGGAGACACCCGACACCAACCAGGTTCCTCGAGAACGAGGGAACGTGGAGGCCTGTAAGGGAGCCCGAGGGAACTGCAGGACAGGGAAGGGACGTAGAACTGCGAGCAACGACAGGACCCGCAGAGGGGTCAGCGAGAGAGACGACAGCAGGTGTAGCAAGCGGCGTGAGCGCGGAGCGGTCGCGGAAGAAGCAGGCAGAAGCACCGGAGTCGAGAGTGAACGACAGCGATGCAGTGGCGGAGGCCGGGAACGGGGCCGGTGCAGAGACTGGGCTAGGCAAACTAGGCAGTCCTACGCCTGACGCAGCAGGGGAAGCTATGCTACACAAGGGTGCAACACCTAAGCTGGAGAACACAGGATAATAAGATCCAGCAACACTAGCAGCGTCAGAATACAAAGCATGCAACGCAGCACCTATCTGATCCATGTCTAACTCAAAGATCGGCACGCCCTGGCGGAGCAGGCTGTGCCAGTCAGGGAGGTCCGGGGCCGGGCCAAAGCGACGACGAAAAATATCGTCAAGGCGGCGAAAACAGCGGGCAGTCGGGTGCGGGCGGCGACACAGAGTGCCGCGAAGAGGCCCGGTCTGAAGCTGGTACTGGCAGGTCACAGCACCGGAGCCGCTGGTAGACGCCGAGCTGCGCGGTGTGAGAGTACGACCCCGTTACACCACTTGTCCCTTTTCTTATTTCCTTCCTCGTTCATTTCTCTTTATCTCATCTCATTTGGTTTCCTATTTTCCATTTTCCATTAACCTTTGGTTTATCCTGCTATTCTAGTTATATCACCGACCAGGCTTGGGATGTACTGGTACGCTATATCTAGCGTAATCCTGCCGTAATCCCTTAAAGCCAATAGCCTCGCGTGGCTATACGCAGGGTGATTCTATCTTCTAGAAGGGTCTATTCCCTTAGGATAAGATAAACCTGGTTACCTGATGTACTTTGGAAGTATAAAAGCGCCTTGTACTGATCGATAGTGCAACCTTTCCTCGACACATTCGATCCTGTGACACGCGGGCTGCCACCACGGCCACCACCTCCGCTGGTGCCAGGCCAACCAGGCGGGAGACGAGCCCACTGCTGCGGCGGCTGCTGCTGGGGCGACGGCGGCGGCTCGGGCTGCTCCTGCTGCGGCGGGGGCTGCTGCTCCTGCCGACCAGTGGTAGTCCCAGCAGGCGGACTACCGTCACTACCACTAACACCACCACCACCACCTGCGCCACCACCCCGACCTCCCTGGCGACCACGGCCACTGTGGCGCGAGCGCTGCTGCGGGTGGACCGCAGCAGCCGTCTCGTTGGGAGGGGGCACCGTGGCGACCGCAGCCGAAACGTCAGTGAACGTGCACTGGGAGGGGGCACAGCCGTAAAAGATAGAGACTGCCGACGCAGCGCTCGACTGAGCGATAGTGCGCTGGCGAGTCTCGATCTCGGTGAGGGTGTCGACAAAGGCAGTGAGGGTGAGGTCAGCCGGGTGTTGGCTAAGGAAGTGATCGCGGGCACTAGCGAGGCGGTCCGGCAGGCGCATGGCGATGAAATAGAGCGTCATGCAGAAAGGAGGGGGGAGCGCAGTGAGCTGTGCAGCAGTGCTGGCAGTGCGATAGTGGGTCTCTAGGGCACGCAGGTGAACGGCAAAGTCTGCGACGGTAGGGAAGGCTGCAAGGTCTGGGAAGAGCATCGGGAAAAGCAAGCGGCCAGCAGAGGCAGACGCGGGTGTGGAATAGCGGGCAAGGACTGCGTCTAAGTAGGCTTTGGCCGTCGCAATGGTAGCAAAACGCGAGCGTTCAGACACAGGGAGGGCGTGGCTAATAGCAACCTGAGCGACCGCATCGCGGGAGTCCCAGACAGCACAGGCAAGTGCAGCAGTAGAGAAGGTCTCACGGGCATCAGAGGAGGGGTCAGCAGGGAGGGGAACGGGCGCAGGGGGGCGGGGGAGCAAACCATCGACATGGACAACCAAAGAGTGGCCATCCTGACGCTGACCTGTAAGGTGGCGGCGGAGGTCAGAGAGCCAGGCGGCGGAGGTCAGAGAGCCAGGCGGCGAAGTCAACCGCATGGCCCTCGGCGTCTAGTCGGAGCACGAAGTCAGCCATCGTGCAGGGTCAGCGGCACAGCTCCGCAGGAACAGGACGGCAGCGCCCTCCGACACGGCGGCCGCAAAACGGCGCCCCAGCACGTGCGAGCAGGTACAAAGAGGCGACGGCCGGTCAGGCACGGCGGGTGAGGCACGGGAGGTGCGGCAGAGCCAGGAGGTGCGGCAGGGCCGGGCAGGCTCGGCGGGGCCAGGCAGGGGCGGCGGGGCCAGGAGGCGCGGCAGGGCCAGGCAGGCGCGACGGGGCCCGGCAGCGCGGCGTGGCCAGGAGACGAGACGGGGCCAGGCAGACGCGACGGGGCCAGGCAGCGCGGCGGGGCCAGGAGACGCGGCGAGGCCAGGCAGGCGCGACGGGGCCAGGCAGGCGCGACGGGGCCAGGCAGGCGCGGCAGTGCCAGGCAGACGCGGCAGGGCCAGGCAGGCTCGACGGGGCCAGGCAGCGCGGCGGGGCCAGGAGACGAGACGCGGCCAGGCAGGCGCGACGGGGCCAGGCAGCGCGGCGGGGCCAGGAGACGCGGCGGGGCCAGGCAGGCGCGACGGGGCCAGGCAGGCGCGGCAGTGCCAGGCAGACGCGGCAGGGCCAGGCAGGCGCGACGGGGCCAGACAGCGCGGCGGGGCCAGGAGACGGGCGGGGCCAGGCAGGCGCGACGGGGCCAGGCAGGCGCGACAGGGCCAGGCAGGCGCGGCAGTGCCAGGTAGCGCGGCGGGGCCAGGCAGCGCGGCGAGGGCCAGGCAGGCTCGACGAGGCCAGGCAGGCACAGCGGGGCCAGGCAGGTGCGACGGGGTCGAGGAGGCACGAGGGGCCCAGGAGGGGCGTGACGGGCTAGAAGGCGCTGCAGGGGCCCAGGGGGGGGGGTGCGACGGGCGAGGAAGCGCTACAGGAGCCCAGGAGGGGCGCGACGGGGCCCAGGCAGTGCGATGGGGCCCAGTGGGACGCGACGGGGTCTAGGAGGCACAATGGGGCCCAGGGGAGCGCGACGGGGCCTACGGGGCACGAAGGGGCCCAGGAGGGGCGCGACGGGGCCTAGGCAGCGCGATGGGGTCCAGGGGGGCGCGACGGGGCCTAGGCAGCGCGGTGGGGCCCAGGGGGGCGCGACGGGGCCTAGGCAGCGCGATGGGGCCCAGGGGGGCGCGACGGGGCCTAGGGAGCGCGATGGGGCCCAGGGGGGGCGCGACGGGGCCTAGGCAGCGCGATGGGGCCCAGGGGGGCGCGACGGGGCCTAGGAGGAACGGAGGGGGTGACGGGGCCTAGGAGGCACGGGCGGAAGCGGTAGGTGGAGGGGAACCAACCTACGGGTGATACCATCTTAAAGGAAAACTGAATAATGATTGACTAGAAAGAATTGTACAAGGACATATATCTAAGGGTTGTACTCTCTAAGAAATGACCCTATACAATCTATACAAACATTGTAGATAAACATGTTTGACAGTTACTTCTACTGACCATTCGTGGAACTTTTTTCCTACAGTTTCTGACTAACCGTGGAACCCGACTGATGAAACATGTTGCGAACTCGCTAATTCTGATTGTTTCTATTGCGTCACTGACCGTACATATTATCGAGGCCCCTAATACTGAGCGCCGATGTACTTTCCCTAGCTAAAACCTCTCGACTCGACATTTCTCATGCCTTGCCTAGCTAGATCCTATGCTTACCTACTTTCAACAATGGGCGCGCTGACCCGCTACTGGGTTAGCGGCTGAGTTTCTGAGACAGCAGCACTGTAAAAAAAGCCAGTCCACTAGCTGACTGGGTTCACGCGCTATGCGGGTTCATTTCAACACATCAGGGTGTGCTTACTACGGTAGAAAACGCCAGCCTGCTTCTCTGCTTTTCTAATACCGGGAGAAAAAAAACATCATTCACTCGCATGTAGCAAGCTTCATATCATGTGGTACCACAGCTACAACACAATCGCATCCGATTTCCGGAGGTCAAAATTGGACGCAACGCAACGAGCTAGCATGACATGAGTTCACTGGTTCCAGTGCTGCTCTGGCTCCTGCTGCTGCTGCTGCTGCTGCTGCTGCTGCATCAGCAGGTGTGCTTGCTGCAGCAGATCAGGCACCTGCTGCTGCTGCTGCTTTAACTGCTGTTGCTGATGCTGTAACTGTTGATGCTGCTGCAGCTGCTGCAACTGTTGCTGTTGCTGCTGCTGCTGCTGCTGTTGCTGCTGCTGCTGCTGCTGCTGCTGCTGCTGCTGCTGCTGTTGCATGTGCTGCATGTGCATCTGCTGCATCTGAATCTCCTGCTGCATGTCCATCTGAGCCTGCTTCATCCTGGAATACTGCGCCCGGCCCTCCACCGAATGAGCCATCGCTTGCATGCGGCTCACTGCCATGCTCACCTCCCTCTCCTCTCCCCCACCCCCACCAACCCCCCCCCACCAAGCACCTCTCCCCCGCTGTCGCCTGCCTGGTTGGATTTGAGGCAGCGCACGCCGCTGCGGCGAAATCGCCAGCGCAGCACAGCCTTGGCGATGATCCCAAGGCCCCACTTCATCTTCTTGTACTTCACACGCTGGATGTGCCCCTTCACGTGCGCCTAGAGAGGAAGAGACGAGGGGGGGGGGGGGGGGGGGGTGTTGGGGGGGGGGGGGAGGGAAACAGGGGCAGGAGTGGGAACAGGAGATGATCCCATGGCCCCACTTCGTCCTCTTGTACTTGACAAGCTGGATGTGCCCCATCATGTGCGGGGGGGGGTGGGTTTGGGGATGGGGGAGTGGGAGTGGGAAGGTAAACATATCAGATGAAGGGGTCTCTAAGTTAGAAGCCAGGGCGATGATCCCAAGGCGCCACTTTATCGACGTGTACTTGACGTGCTGGATGTGCCCCATCACCTGGGGGAAACCACTTTTGAGTTGACTCAAGATGATCCCAAGGCGCCAACTTCATCGATGTGTACTTGACATACCGGGAGTGTCCTTCACGTGCGCCAAGAGAGGGGGGAGGGAAAGGGATTATAATTGGAGCCCAGACAGTTGGCCTTGGTGATGAACCCAAGGCGCCACTTCATCGACGTGCATCTGACAAGCTGGATGTGCCCCTTCACGTGCACCTGGGGGGATCCAGAAGGGTAGGTTGGGAAAGAAGAGGTACAACTGAAGCGAGTGAAAGAGATGATCCCAAGGCACCACCTCAGCTTCTTAGACTTCACGCGTTAAATGCGCCCCATCACGTGAGCCTGAGGGTTGGGTGAGTGGGGGGAAGGGAGGGAAATAGGAGCAGTATGAGTAACGAATAAGAAGAGATGTGGGTGAACGCGCAACGCGTAACCTTGCGGAACGAAGAAGACGAGGTGTGGCGCTGGTTTCACAATAAGGAGAGCACCACAGGGTCTTCGTCCACGAACAATGAACAGCTTGCCTTAACCACCATCCTACCACCCTGCTTACCATCCTGGTAAACCTCCCCCACCTGAATCTTGATCACTCGCTGCCGCATGCGCAGGAAGTCCCGCCGGTGCTTCCACACCCGGAACCGTCTCTGAATGCTCCGCGCCGCCTCCGAGTGCTTCAGGTTCTTGTGCCCTCTGAATGCATTCTGGATCTTCCTCGCAGCAACCAGCATCCTTGCCTCCTCCTCGTCTAACTCATCATCCCCCCCTATCCCCAGCCCTGCCGCCGCCTCTGCTGCTGCGGCCACTGCTCTTTCTTCCTCTCGGATCTCCTCCTCCTCCTGCTGCTGCTGCCGCCTTCGCTCCGCATGCTTTCTGAACCGCTCCTGGATTAGTGCTGCTGCCTGTGCTGTCCGTCGGATCGCATCTAGGGTCTCTTGCATGTCTGCTGACGCGGCGACGATTGACGCGGGAGATGCCCTGCGGAAACCACCAGCAGCGGCACCTGCAGCAGCACCACCAGCGACAACGGCAGCCACACCACCACCAGCAGCTGCTGCTACTGCAGCATGGCCGGCAGCAGCGGCGGATTGGAGCAGAGAGGGGTCAGCAGCGAGCTGGTGTTGGTCTTGGAGGGTCATAGAGGAGAGGGAGGAGTTGAGGGACGACTCCGCTAGGTAGGCCGCTATGCCCTTGTGCCCGCACCCGTCCGCTGTGTCAGCTGCGGTGCGCTCGACTCCCCCCACACGAGCCAAGAGAGAGGCGTTGGCCCCTGCTGCTACTAGTGCCACCACCATTGCTTCCCTGAGAGGAGGGGTTAGACGAAACGAGCAGAAAGCAGGGGAGGAAGGGGGAAGAAAAGGGGGAGATAAAGGAAGAATCGGGGGAAAAGAGGTGAGCTGATGCTGGTCGTGACGGGTCATGGTGGAAGGGAGGAGTTGAGGGAGGCCTCTGCCAGGTAAGATGCTATGCCCTTGTGCCCGCAACCCTCTGCTGTGTCCGCTGCTGTGCGCTCAACCCCCCTCACACGAGCTAGGAGAAAGGCGTTGGCGCCTGCTGCTACTACGGCTGCCATCATTGCTTCCCTGCGAGACAGGGTGAGAAGAAACGAGGGGAAATCGGGGGAGGAACGGGGAAGAAAAGGAGAGACGCGTTGGCGCCTGCTGCTACTAGGGCTACCACCATTGCTTCCCTAAGGGTTGGTGGGGAGAAAGGGGAGGGACCAAGGAAAATTGGGGGAAAGGGATGACGGAAATAGAAGGGAAACGGCGGTATGTGGCAGCCTCGGTGATAGCATATAAGGAAATACGAGGCAGGAAATACGAGGATGGAAATAGGAGGCAGGAGATATGAGGCAGGAGATATGAGGCAGGAGATATGAGGCAGGAGATATGAGGCAGGAGATATGAGGCAGGAGATACGAGGCAGGAGATATGAGGCAGGAGATACGAGGCAGGAGATATGAGGCAGGAGATATGAGGCAGGAGATATGAGGCAGGAGATATGAGGCAGGAGATATGAGGCAGGAGATATGAGGCAGGAGATATGAGGCAGGAGATATGAGGCAGGAGATATGAGGCAGGAAAACAGCATGTTCCCCATAGCAGCACTCACCTCCCCTTAGCAGCACTCACCTCCCCTTAGCAGCACTCAACTCCCCTTAGCAGCACTCAACTCCCCTTAGCAGCACTCACTTCCCCTTAGCAGCACTCATCTCCCCTTAGCAGCACTCAACTCCCCTTAGCAGCACTCACCTCCCCTTAGCACTCATCTCCTCATAGCAGCAGTCTCCTCCCCTTAGCAGCGCTCACCTCCCCTTAGCAGCACTCACCTCCCCTTAGCAGCACTCACCTCCCCTTAGCAGCACTCAACTCCCCTTACCAGCCACCCAATGCAGCGCAGTGCACCCTCTCTTATCCCTCGCGTTCAAATCCCACCCAACCGACATGAGCAGCAGCACCACCCACGACCACCCCAGCACCGCCACCAAATGCATCAGACCCAGCCCATGCCCTTCCCCAGCCCCTCCCCTCCCCTTACCCTGCCCTTCCCTTCCTCCGCCCTTGTGGGGACCATTCCTTACCTTCCCTTAGCAGCCGCCCAGTGCAACGCAGTGCACCCGCGCCTGTCTCTCGCATTCAAGTCCCACCCAACCGACATCAGCTGTGGCACCACCCACGACCACCCCAGCGCCGCCACCAAATGAGCCAGGCCCAGCCCCTGCCCTCCCCTTCCCCTGCCCGCCTCCCTCGCTGCGTCACTGTTCAACGCCAACCAGCGGCCCAGATGCCGCCGCATCAACGCCTGCAGCAATACCCCTTCCACCTGCACCAGGCTCCCCTGTTGGCCTCCTCCCACTCCCCCTCCACCTCCATTTCCTCCTGCTCCTCCTCCCCCTACCTTGGCCCCTCCTTGGCCTCGCAACCCTAGAGCATACTCCTCGGCATCTTCCTCCTCGCTTCCATACCCCCACACACCCCTCTCAATCTCCTCCCCATCCTCCCCTTCCTCCCCATCCACTCCCATTCCCCCATCCCCCCCCAACAGCTCCTCCCCCCCGTTCCCATCAGACCTACACATGCCGTCTGTTCCCTCACCCCCGGCTTCTCTGGCGTATGCTGACGTGGACGCCAGGGCGTCGTCCACCCATGCCCAGTCAGTGCTGACGTCCGCTACGCTGGCGCGGTTGATGCGGGAGATGACGCAGAGGAGGCGGGAGAGGAGAGCGCGCTCCGAGAGGAAGAGTCGGGATAAAGTTGGCCTGCTACCAGCAGATGGGTTTCTGGTCCGGTCAAGAGCCAAGCTCTTTTTGAACGACTGCCAAGGGGGGAGGAAGTCAAAGGGTACGGGAGGGCTACAGGGAACTCTCTTCACACGGTTGGTTCCTTCCCCTGCTGCCGTTCCTGCTGCTGCTACTGCCATGTTTTGACTCATTGAATGGCCGCCGGCCCCACCCCCACTGTCCACACCCGCAGAAGCACCACTATCACCACCACCAGCACCAGCACCAGAAGCAGCAGCAGCAGCAGGGGTGCACGTGACTCTGAGGCTCACTCGCCCCTCCTTGTGCATGGGGGCAACGCACCGTAACACCCCGTGTAACACCTGCTCTGCCTCCACCTCCACCTCCCCAAACGTCACCCCCCACCGCACCCCCCCCACCGTCTCGCCCCGCCCGCCGCTGCTGCCGAAGCTGCCGCTGCCCCGGCCGAGGCTACCACTGCCACCCAGGGAATGAGGGCTGGAGAGCGTGGGTGTCCCTGGGCTCGCCCTGGGGTCGTGGATGGAGCCTGCTAGCAGCACCTGGGGGGGGAAACGGAGAGAGGGAGATGGGGAGCATTGGAGTTGAGGGATCGGAGAGTGCTGTTGAAGCTGCTGCTGCCCTGGCTGAGGCTGCCGCTGCCGCCAAGGGAGAGCGGGCTGGAGAGCATGGGTGCCCCTGGGCTCGCCCTAGGGTCGTGGATGGAGCCTGCTAGCAGCACCTGGGGGGGGATTAAGGGCAGGAGGGGCCACATCAGGGGGGTGGAGGGCGAGTGTAGATAAGGCGTAAGAGTCAATTGCTTAGGCGCCCCAAACGGAGAGATGTCGTAATAGACAGAGGTCCACCGGGTCCGGCCTGCTCGACTGGATGAATGCCTCTGGTGGTGACAGCGGACGTGGGGGAATATTTGGCAGTCGAGAACATCAGAAGCCGTGGACTGCCAACTAGCACACTTAAGAAAAACGGAAGGGGAAGGGTTCAAGAACTTGCCCACCGACCTTGACCTTTCCCATGGTGACTGCAGTTATGGGTGCATGGTCCACAATGGACAACGTCACAAGCAGCGTATCAAGGGGCCTCAAAACAGGTGAAAAAGGGTTCACGAGGATGCCCCAACACTGACCTTGACCCCGCACGTGGTGACTGCAGTCATCGGCGCCTAGTCAGCAATAGCGAACGTCACAAGCAGCCGCGGTAGGGATCAGGGCATAAAGATTGTCTCACAGGAAAAAGGTAGGTCACAGGTTGTCTTCCAGAGTGTATTTTTCAGGCGCCTAAAAAACGTAACAAGCAGCCATGGCAGGGACCAGGGCATTAAGGTTGTCTCACAGAAGGTAGGTCAAAGGTTGTCTTCCCCACTGACCTTGACCCCGCCCATGGTGACTGCAGTCGTGGGCGCATAGTCCGCTATCGAGAACGTCACAAGCGGCCGCGGCGAGTCCGCTGCTGCCACCACCGACCCCCCTCCACCGATCGAAAACGCTCTCAACCCAACCCCTCTCACCCCTCCTCCTCCTCCCCCCACGGCCCCGGCAGCGTTGCTACCAAGAGGGAGCATGGGCGATGCCGCTATGAAAGACAGGTCATACTTGCTACTAGCCAGCCCTCCCTCCTCCTCGTCCGCCTCTACTCCCACTGCCTCCTCCTTCACCCTCCTCGCCTTGGACGTAGGGGAGAGGTCCGGGGAGGAGAGGGGCGAGGGCGAGGGCGCCAGCCGCCGCATGGCCTGGTGGATCCGCAGGTCAAACACATCAGCAGGGGTAGAAACACCACCACCCGAACCTGCTGCAGGCATGGGGACCGAACCAGGGGCAGGTATGGCACCGCTGCCACTGCCAGCCATAACTGCATCTTCTCCCGCTCCCATACCACTCCCCCCTGCGCCGCCGCCGCCGCCATCCCCTTTATAAACCTCCTCGATCCACTCGCCAAAGCTGTCCAGCTTCCGGAATAGCGCAGGCTCGTTAGGAATGCTGCTGCTAAGGGGGATACTGCCGCTCTTAGGCATGCTCCCGCTGGGAGCTAACCCAGGAAGGCTCCTATTAGACCCCTCCGTCTGCATCTCGTCGAACATGTGCGAGAACACCGTAGGCCGTCCAGAGCCCCCCACGTCTCCCCCGGAGCTCCGGAGCTCCGGAGGAAAGGCGCCGAGCCAGCTCGCGGGAGGTGCGGCAGGGGAGGCGGCGGCAGCTATGGCGGCGGCTGCGGCGGCGGTGGCAGCAGCGATGGCGCGTGGGGAGCCGGAGGCACCACCCCCGCTGAACGCTGCTTCCCTGGTGGCCTCATTGAGCGGGAAAGACTGCAGGAGGAGCGACGCCTGGAGGGTGTGTTGAAGGGGGGAAGGGCGGGTGTGGCGGGGCAGGCAGGGGGTTGTGGGAGGAAGGTGAGGAGGGGATATTGAGGCTCTCGGAAGGCGCGGCAGGGGAGGCGGCCGCAGCTCTGGCGGCGGCTGCGGCGGCGGTGGCGGCAGCGATCGCGCGCGGGGAGTCGGAGGCGCCGCCGCCGCTGAACGCTGCTTCTCTGGCGGCCTCATTAAGCGGGAGAGACTGCAGGAGGAGCGACGCCTGATGGGGGGAATGAAGGAGTGAGTGACGAACAGGGAACGCGGAAAGCGGGGAGAGAGGCGATGGCTGGAAGGGAGTGGTTGACATTATGGGAAAGGTACAGAGCGGGAGCACTCAGGATTTTCTGGTGGCTTCGTTGAGAGTTAGAGACTGCAGGGGAGAGACGCCTGCGAGGAGTCCAGCCTACACTCCCACCCACCGTATCTGCCAACCCTCGCACACCCACCACTGCCACACCAACTTGCACGCCCCCACACACACCAGTCCTCCCATTCCCACTGACCAGGTCTGCTTGCTGGGCGGAGGGGGAAGAACCGGCAAACGCCAGCGAGCTCAGCTGTGCCTCCAACTCCTCATCCCCACACACAAGCCTTTCCCATCCACGCCCCAAATCCCCACGCACAAGCTTTTCCCACCCACACCCCAAATCCCCACGCACAAACTTCTCCCACCCACACCCTGAATCCCCCCGCACAAGCTTTTCCCACCCACAACCCGCACCCCCCCGCACACGAGTCCGCCCATCCCCACTGACCAGGTCTGCATGTTGGCCGGAGGAGGAAGAGCTGGCAAGCGCCAGCGAGCTCAGCTGCGCCTCTGCTGTGCCACCCACCCTCAGACCCCCCATCCCTGTGCACAGATTTTCGCACCCAGACCCCTCATTCCGACACGCCCACGTCCCCATCCCCACATACCAGGTCTGCATGTTGGCCGGAGGAGGAAGAGCTGGCAAACGCCAGCGAGCTCAGCTGCCCCTCAGCTGCGCCGCCCACTCCAAGCCCGGGAGAACCGGTACCTGCTGCTGCTGCTGCATTCCCAGAACCAGCAGCACCGGCTGCTGCTGTGGCGGCTGCAGTGGCTGCTGCAGAGGAATCGGTTCCAAAAGAGCCTGCGGCAAGGTTGGTGTAGGTCAGCGAGGCGGGCGGGTTGAAGGGGGAGGGGAAGTTGGAGGGGGAGGGGAGAGGGGGAAGAAGGTTGAGGGTGAAGGAGAGGAAGGATGGATGCATGGGGTTGCTTGCACAGTTGGTGATTGATGTGGCGACCCTGACTCCGTACATGCGAGGCCTGACGCCATACCTGCGAGGCCTGATGCCTTGATGAGTTCGTCTAAAACCACAGTGTCTCTCAAGAGGGACTGCATGTCCTGCTGCTGCTGCTGCTGCAGCTGATGTTGTTGCTGCTGCTGATGCTGTTCCAGGAGCCTGGAGATTTGCTGCTGATGGTTGTTCTGAACAAGGGAGACAGAGAGGAGGGCGGGGGAGAGGGGAGATAGGGGGGGGTGAGAGAAAGGCAGCGCGAATGGGAGGGGGAGATGGGGGATACCGGAAGGGAGGGGGAAAGGAGGGGGGTGGGGGGGAAGGATGCCGTGTGATGTGATCGCATCCATGCATATGGGAGATAAACCATGTGGAGCGACCCACATGGGACCCACCCACCTGCTGCAACAGCTGATCAGACGCCCCTGGCACGCCAAGGTTGCTCTGCAGCGCACCGACAGTGCTGGATAAGCCCATGAAATCAGTCATTCCCGCCAGCAGCAGCTGCTGCTGCTGCTGCTGCTGCTGCTGCTGTTGCTGCTGTTGCTGCTGCTGTTGCTGTTGCTGCTGCTGCTGCTGCTGCTGCTGCTGTTGCTGGTGCTGGATCTGCTGCTGCAGCTGCTGAATCTGCAGCTGGATCTGCTGCTGTGCCTGCATCTGCTGCGGCTGCTGCTGCTGCAGCAGCTGCTGTTGCAGTGCCCTCAACTGCTGCTCCTGCTGACCCACCCCCAGCCCTCCTCCGCCCACTCCACTTCCCCCCATCCCCCCACCCATCCCCCTAGCACCCCCTGGCAGATCCAGCTGTGTCCAATTCACGGCAGAGTCGTCCTCCTCCCCAAACCTCTCAGACCCACTCTCATACTCGTCCTCCTCGCCGTCCTCCCCGCGTCTCCCCCCGCCCATGAACGCCCCCGAGTCGTTTCCCCCCGCGTACGACGAGGAGTAGTCGCCAGGCGACACGTGGCTGGGCGACGCAGGTATATCCATGGATAGGGCACCCCCTCTCCCGCCCATCATCATCCCACTACCACCGCCGCCAACACCACCACCAACACCACCACCGATACCACCAGCAGCAGCAGAGCTGCCAGCATAGGGAAGCACCATGCGGCCGCTGCCAGAGTGGCTGGTGGAAGGGGTGTGCACGCCCCCACCAGCCATGCCCGCAGCACCAGCGCCGGCAGCACTGCTGGCTGCAGCCATTGATCCCATACCGCCACCACTACCGCCACTAGCAGCTCCACCGCCCCCGCCACCGAAGCCCCCGCCTACAGACGCGGAGAGGTCGTCCATGCTCATGTCTGGTCCCTGGCCCGTGTACAGGGGCAGCGAGTCCACTGTGCTGTGCCTGGGGGACTGCTGCGCGCGCCCCGTGCCCTGGTGAGGGGGGGAAGAGGGGGGGAGAAAGTCGGGGTAGGGGCGGGGGGGAGGGGGGGGGGGGGGGAGTAGAAAGGACGGCAACACAATCAAGAGAGGTGCTCCAAGCTCATGTACGCCCCCCTGGGCGGCGTAGACAGCCAGCAAGTCCACAGCGCTGTGCCTGGCGGACTGCTGCGCCCGCCCCATACCCTGGTGAAGGGCGGGGGGTGCGGGGTGGAGGTATCTGCAGGTTAAAGGCAGGAAGGGGGGGGGAGGAGGAGAGTAGAGAGGACGACAACACAATCAAGCAATGTCCTCCATGCTCTCATGTCCAGCCTCTGGGCGGCGTAGAGAGTCTAGTTTTGAGGCGCCTCAAAACCAGCCCCTGGGCGGCGTAGAGGGGTTGTCCAAGCTCATGTACGCCCCCCCTGGGCGGCGTAGACAGCCAGCGAGTCCACAGTGCTGTGCCTGGCGGACTGCTGCGCCGCCCCGTGCCCTGGGGTGGGAAGGAGACAGAGGAGGGGAATTGGGGGGGCAAGGGGATTGGCAGGAACGGGTACAAGCGGAAGGGGGACTGGGCGGGGCGTTGGCCAAAGGCACAGAGGAGGGGGAAGATGAGGGGAACGGGAGGATGAGGGAACGGGGTCAATGAGAGAGCACGACGCGGAGGGGAGGGGAGGGAAGGGGGCTGATGACGGAAGGAGGAACGTGATGGGAATCGGGGGTTGGTGTGAGGGGGGGTGGGTGGGGGGCGTGTGGGAGGGGGGCGGGAGGAGGGGGGGGGGAAGAAGGGAGATAAGCTACCGAATATGCCAGGCATACCTGTGCCACTTCACGGTAGTGCACCAGGACAATGTTCTCGTTCTCCCTGCAGCAGCACGGACAGACGAGTAGCAAATGGGGGGACAGTGTATGAGCGAAGTCGTTCGGTGGATTGTTAGGCAAGATGGACTTGACTTGACACGTCAGCTGGATCAAAGGTAACGCTAAGTCTGCTTTAGCAACTTCGTAGGGCGCTGAGAGCAAAGAACCCCTGCTTCCATCAACTAATCCAGCCGGATCCGAACCGCAATGGCACTGCACGGCACGGCACGGCATGGCATGGGACTCCCGGATTAACTCAACCATCTACCGAATGATCGTAATATCGTTTTGAGTCGGCTCAAAACGACACGGCATGGGACTTCCGGACTATCTCAACTCAACCATTTATTGAAGAGCCTCGGATCAAAGCGAGTTCGGCTCACCCGTCGAGCAGCCAGTAGCAGCGGCGCTGGAAGCGGTCGTCGCTCTCCGCGTGGGCGTAGTAGCAATGCAGGATGTCCACACTGCCGGCCTGGGGCACACACGAGAGCAGGTAGGTCAGTGGAGCGCACACGAATAGGAGGGGAGTGCCCTTTTTTGAGGCGTCTAAAAAATAGTCCCCGCACAGGCGTAGTAGCAGTGTAGGATGTCCACGCTGCCGGCCTAGCACACACGAGAGCAGGTAGGTGGGTGGAGCGTACACGGATAGGAGGGGAGAGGCGGAAGGGGGGAGGAGGGGAAGTCAGAGCGGGGGGACGAACGGAGGAGCTCTTTGGTTCAGCAATCCAGAGCAGGGCTAATTTTTCGTTTTCCAGGACCCAGCGGTCTCAGGATTCGCGTCACTAAATACCCTGAAAATTCAGCATTCCCAGGAAAATCTCTCTATATTTCAGGATTACTTCGACCTTTCAATCTGAATTTCAGAGTGTTTTTGGGAACTCCCTACATATAGGCGGAACCTGCGGGCACTTCGAGTACAAGCAGGACGGATATCCATGGAAGAAACGATGGAGAAGAATACAGAGTACACACTTGCTGCTGTTGCTGTCTCTCAGCACCACACCAAGTTCGACACTTTCCTTGTCAATCGCGACAGAAATACGTACAACTTAGAGGGACAGTGCGAAGCCTGGCTAAGGTTATATTAAGGGGTTGTGATAGTCTGAAAGCCCTGCACTTCTGTAGTTGTGGAAGCTCCACGGTCACACCAGATTGTGGGGAAAATTGGTCAGGGCTGCAATTGGGGGGAGGGTGGGGTTACAATTCCGGCACGGGTAGGTTTCCATTCCAGTCGGATTGTCAGGATAATTCTTCGCGCAGTCCGGATTTCTCAGAGAGTTCCTGGGAAACGCCCGGAATCAGTCAGGAGGTTTGTGATTCCGAAACCCTCAAAATCAGGATTTAAGCGGGAAAGACCCGGAATGTACCTGACATTCCGGATGTTTACCCTTGAACCGAGAGCCCTGATCCAGAGCGCATGCACCACGCAGCTGTTGCCTGTGCAGCTGTTGCCTGCGCAGCTGTACAACTCCCCTTTCCTTCGCCCCTTCCTCCACTTCTTCCACTTCGTTCTTCCGTTCTCCCGTCATTTCTCCGTTCCCGTCATTTCGCCGTTCCCGTCATTTCGCCATTCCCGTCATTTCGCCATTTCCGTCATTTCGCCAATCCAGTCATGATTGCATGAATCCCACCAAGAGCTTTTCGTGCGTCTCGCTCGCGGACAATCTTGCCGTCCTCGTTTCTGCAGCATCTCGGAACCATGATTCGCACCTCCTTGTTTCGTACCTCTATGTTCATCATCCTTGTTTCTGCACGCGCGCCTGGAGCTTCTCATCGGCCTCTTGCCGTCCTCCTTGTATCGGGGCCCCTTTTTTGAGGCCCCTCCTTGTTTTCACCCGTCTCGGAACTATGATCCGCACGCAAGCTTACCGTGCGGTTTTGAGTCGACTCAAAAGCTGATCCGCACGCACCTTGAGCTTTTCGTGCGCCTCGCGGACGGTCTTGCCGTCCTTCTTCTTGCGCCACACGTGCCCGTCGCGGCGGAAGTAGCGCACCACCTTGCGGTCGAACAGGAACAGCGACCCGCCTGCGCGCCATCGGACACACAGAGGGGTTGCGCAAAACTTAGGGTTGCGCAGAACTTAAGGGTTGCATACAACTTAAAGTTGCGTAGAAGTTAGGGATGCGTAGATCACAGGATTCCGTAGTCCTTAGGATGCATCGGCATTAGGGTTGCAAGGGATATTCGACTCTCACGGACATTCGCGGGATATGGAGCATTCTCGGCGTTAGAGATTGCTGTCACGAACGGGTCGGGGGATCTAACATTCGACATTCGACATTCGGCATTCGGCATTCACATTGAACGTCACAATGTACGCCGGTCAAAACGACCCAAGCGAAATCACACAACCCAGGGTTCAAAAGGACAGTGTCGCAGCAAATGCGGCTCAAACAGGGACGGAGGAACGACGATCGCAACTTCTTACAACGCGGGGGGGGCAAACGAAGAAGAAGAATAAAAAAAAAAGGACGGAGGATCCCAAAGTACAAGGCGGAAACGAAGGGAGCTGGGGCTTAAGGGTCCAAAGTTCAAGAAAAGGTTCTCACTAGGCGGCTTGGCCGGCGGTTCTTGGTTGAGCTGGAACTCGTACTTGCGGAAGTTCTGCAGGATGTTGCACACCTCCACTGGCTTGAGCCATCTGGTCCGCGCCTCCAGTAGCACATGGCCGATGTCGATGTCCTCTGATGGTCGCGGAGGGGGGAAAGGAAAGGCCAATGGAATTCCGTAAGACTCGAATAAAGGGCCCCGGATAAAGTGCACCAGAGAAAAGATGATTCGGTCCGCGCCTCCAGCAGCACATGGCCGATGTCGATGTCCATGTCGATGTCGATGTCCTCTGATCGTCGCGGTGGAGGAAAGACCGGGCCGGTAACATTCCGTTCGACGTTGAGACGGGATTTACTGGTGGTACCAGAACATGACATGGACGATGTCAATGTCAATGTCAATGTCCTGTCCTCTGATTGCGGGGGAGGAGAGACCGGTGACATGCCGGTAACGGTTGAGACGGGATTTAACGGTAATACAGGAACATGACATGGAAGGCGTCAATGTCCTCTGATCGCGGGGGAGGAGAGACCAGTGACATTCGTAAGTCCCGGATATATGACTCGGATAAAGGACATTCAACGAATGTTACGACGTGTCGATATATTTTTCTCGAGAGGTGAGTCTCACCATGGGGTTGAAACCTTAGGGCCTGCCTCTTAGCGGGATTTAGTAGTAGTTGACTCTAATTAGCAGAGCAGGAGAGTTCCGCGATTTATCGAGCTGATAACAAGCTTACAGTCAGACATTCAACAGAAGAACAATAAAAAGCGGCGAGTCTCGCTAGAGAAGAAATGGCCGGAAGCGATAGTAGGCGGATAGCAGCTACCTGTTGGAAATGGCTGCTTCCGTGACGCCATCACACGTAGGAAGCACGATCAGCTCTACAAAAAAATCAGGCTGTTGAACCACCGTCCAACGACCTAACTTGAATCATAAATTGTCGCCCACCGCAGTGTGACCGCAGTGGGATCGGCATATAATTTAGACTAGCACTCCTGCAACGGATCTGGAACATCAATTAGGAAGCCACGATCTTTAAGTGAGGCCAGTTGGCATCTCATACAGTATCACGGAGTCAGGACTGAAGAGGAGGAATTGTGGCACAGACAAGAGTGGTTACATACTCCTATTTCTCCCACACAGTGGCAGAGTGGTTGCTGCTATTCCTCCTCCAGGACCTTTGTTTGAGAGGAATGCATGGCAGACCAGCCGCATTGACCTTGATACTGTATTCCCGCCAACCCTGGTTCGGTTCTCTGGTGGTGTCCCTGACTCCTGAGCTGATGGTCCTGTAATGATGAGCGAAAGGAGGCAAAGCACGCAGCAAATGAAGATCTGGGTGGATGAGTTTTCACGCTTAGATGAAATGATTCTTATTGTACTTTTGTACAGCTAGATTTTTTGGAGTCTACAGTGACAGCAAAAAGTTCCGCCCTCCAGGGGTCTCCTCTCAGGAGGCAAATGCGGCGGGCAGGTGCAGTAACCTCGAAGAAGGGTGAGAGATCGGCGTAGCAGAGGTGTTGTGCCTATGCCTATCAACTCTCCACTTTCGCACGATGCTGGGCAACCCATTTTCCCGTCCATGGTGCGATTCTGTGGCACGGTTTGTTCCTAACGCTGGTGTGTGTTCCAACTGCCATTGTGTTGCAGAATCCGGGAGGGCCATACCCGAAGCAACGGAATCTTGACATGCTTCCTTCTCACTTACAGAAATTCTTCCCCGTTGCATCTTCTATGCAGCTACACTTTTCGTCAAGGTTCCTTGCTGCAAGAAAAGGAAAAGAATTGTTTGTGGGCTCATCATGTCTGCCCGGGAGCACCCGAAAGGAAATGTGGGGCCAAGAAGCTGCCAAAGGCTGCCGTTTTCTCTTCACTTACAAGCCGATTCGACTAAATTCCTGAGTATCGTTACACAACCAAATCCGATATGCCTAGTTTGAAAACATAATGATGGAATGCTTATGGATTTGTTTTTAGAAACATATTATTAGAGACAAAATATAAATTTATGACAGGCAGATGAACTAAATCGAACATGGTGACTAAAAAGGAATATGAAAGACCCAAGCACACAATTAGAGCAATAATAAGAGAAAAGAGAATTAGTTCAATCATGCTCAACTACCAAAATTCGAACATCCTAAAAAACGAATTTATTGAGCTGAGTTGGTAGTATCATGCTCTACACATGTTTCTATTCAATACCATAGTAGGTAAATAAGCATTTTGCAGCATGTTATCGGGATTATCTGAGCTACAGATCTGGTCTGGGGGGGCTGATGTTCATGTGGGACATTCACGCTTCTGCTCCACCGCAAATCTCCTCACAATCTCTATGCCCAGCCATGATTCGCCATCTCAGCTGGGGAGAACCTTGCGGACGTGTAGATTGACACCCCATGACGTGGGGGCAGCACCCGTTGCATGACCACGTCATCATACACCTGGCCCGCTGTAATTTTAGAGCCTGAAAATGGGCGGCAGTAAACGTTTCGACTCTGACCCTGACCTTTTCTGTGTCCGCAAAGAGCATTCCCGTGTTCACGGTGGACTGGAGCCAGCAGCTCGCAGTCTCGACACGGAAGGCTCGGGTCGACAAGTAGATGACTGATGTCTTCTGAGAAACACTAAGAGATGGGAGGAGAGACGCGGTAAACAATGGTAGTCTAGAAATCCAAGCATGCCGTTTTTTCCAGGGGTTGCGAGACCCGCCTCTTTGGTCATGCTTTCGGAGGGTTACAGCCCTTCAGTCAAATGGCGGGTGAAAATACTATGTGTGAAATTAGAGCAGGCCAGGTGTACAAGCGGTCTCCTTACTGGATAAGCTCATGGAAGAAACGACATGCTAGGTGAGGCACTCAAGTCCAGTTAAAATAGCAACATACCCGTGACAAGCAAACTAGAATTATATGAACTAGTATAGCGTCGGAGAAACCATGCTGGGGGGGGGGGGGGGGGGGGGGAGGAGAATTAGTAACGCAAATGAATGCTTCGGGCGTGGTCTTCTGAGAGCGCGGGGTTTCAAGGCTCAACCTTGGGTCTAGTGACTTTGACGGTAGTGCGCCTACAGAGGTGCAGGAAGTCGCAAAACGAGTTGACGATGTACAGAAATCTGCACAGCCTTGTCGCAAAGCGAATTGGGAGGTGTACATTGGCGGGCGATGCACTTACGCCACTTCTATGCTGGTAGGTTTGTATGCGAACGGTGTGTTTCCAGTCAAGCAGCCGTCAGGAGTCGTAAGACCCGAGGCAATTTTTTCCACCTCGGATGGTCCCGTATGATACTAGTGTCAGACACGTGCTCAGAATTGCCCTGAGCTTTCCCATTTCGAAAACAGACTCGAGTTTGGCGCTTTGGCATGGCACTTTCCCTAGGGAACAGATTCCTCGGAGGTTTGAAAGCTTGCCAGCATGAACCTAGTGTTGGTGCTGGTTCAGTAGTTAGCTGTGGGCAATATCACTCATTCCTCAGAGCGGGTAGAAGCTGGAGTTACTGATGCCAGAGAAAGATTCGTGTAAGACAGAGAATGCTTGTAAGCAAATGTCGTCTTGCTGAAGTATCAAAGCTGGAGGGAGGGAGCAGGGGAGTAACGAGCATGAATCTCTGTGCTTGTCTGTCCCATCCCATCCCATCCCATCCCATGGAACCAGGGCTCTGGCTAGCAGAAAATTTACCCTTAATGTCGCGAAATTAAGAGTTGTTCCGACCTGATTCCGTTTTTTTGCATAGTAAGAGTTTTTAATTCCGCCTGCCTAACGGTCTACGTTTCGTGTTTTTAATTGCGGGCTACTTAATTCTTTGATTCCGTACGAAGTGCAATTGCAGTGGGAGATCTGTTCGTAGTGGTGTATCACCCCTTCCCGCCCTCCCCACCACTTTTCCCAACTGCCTCCACTAAGCAAAGCGCGAGGTTAGTTGCGGAGAGTTTTTTCTACTCTTCCAACTGCCTCAGGCGTAGTATCCGCGAGAAACAGTGCCTGGGGTTTTGATGGCTTTTCCTTAGCCGTGTCCAAGGCCATTTGCCTTCAAGAATGTTAGAATCAAAACAAGTGTAGCTTTCGACGAATCCGTATGCTAACGGGTAAACTTTCGGCGATTCCATCCGCTAACGGGTATTTTCGGGGTCGATTTCGTGACCTAACGGAATACCCTAGGCTTAGCGAGAGCCCTGCATGCAACACCGACAGCACCTCACCTCAGCAGCACCTCAGCAAGTAGCCTATGTCTGGGACCACAGCAGCCCAGCCGAGCATCTTGCACATCCGAATCGCGATAAACTCCCAACCAAATCCGAACCACGATTTCACTCGTGCCTTGCCTCGCCTCCATTTCCTCCAGCCTCCCTGGTTCAGCAGCCTTCGTCAAGCGTTTCAGTGATCCCCTTCCGCTATCGCTTCAGATCAGATCATCAAACTCTCTCCCCTCTCATGCACAAGCAAAGGCGATCATCACAACGTCTCCCAGTCAGCGGCTGGCGTTACTGAATCTCTTGTATGGTACGGCACTCTTCAGATCGCAAGAGCTTCTCGTCTGCCTGGATGTATGCATTGTGTAACGTGACCGGAACGGGAGAATAAGCGGCATTCTTACATGAGACGTCATATGCCAAGAATAACCCTACTCTAGAGGCGGCCTGCTCTAGAGGCGGTGATAGGGAAGGGGGTTCAGCAAGGGGATTCATGTAAGTGGATACGCTGTTAGACGAAATCCGCGCCACCTAATCGCCGAACAGGGCTCAGAACTCGAGCAGTGCCTTCATTATAATCATATCTCCGAGTGCTGAGGGATCTTCAGCTGACGTTTGAGTCGACTCAAAAGTGAACTTGAGCAGTACCTTCGTTAGAATCATATCTCCGAGTGCTGAAGGGTCTTCATTGTCCGTAGGAACGAGGCAAGCCGTTCAGGATGGCATTCCATGTCTCCATAATGCGTCGAAGCAGACCACGTGCGTTCGCTCCGGTCTTCGGCTCCACGTGATGCCGTCCCGTTAGTAACTCGCGAAGAGCTGAAGGGCTGCAAGCCTACATTCCGCACATTACTAGCGATGACTTACGTAGAATTCTAGTGGCACCAGCCCACATTCCGCACCAACCTAAATTCCTCACCAGCCTGCATTCTTCACACGTATACATAAAGACCTTAGCGGGTTCCAGCCTTGAAGCACAGCGACGGCGGACATGGACTCGTCGTTTGTGACGGCGGCGCGCCTCTCCGCCACCATAAGCGGAATCACCTTCCGTAGCGCGCGGCGCTCCGTCGACCTCGTGCACGCCGCGGGCGGCGCGGCGCCGTCCGCGAATCGCGCGGGGGTCTCCACGTACCTGCAGCGCATCCAGCGCCCCGGGCTCGTGCAAAACTTCGGCTGCCTGCTCGCGATTCCCGGCGACGGGAAGAGCTTCGATCTCGTCGCCTTCAGCGAGAATGCCGGCCACATGATTCTGAATGAGGCGCTGCCGCCGCCGGCGCCGGTGGCGGCGGTGCCTCCACCCCTGCTGGCGGCGACGGGTACGGGCGCGGGCGCGGGCGCGGGATCTGCCGCGCCAGCAACGGCGTTGATCGGACGGTCGCAGTCGATTCCGGAAGGGTCGGAAGCGGCGCCAAATGTGGAAGTCGTTCGGAGAGGTGAAGCGGGAGGAGCGGCGGGAGGCGCGGCGGCGGGCAGCGAGAAAAGACGGCTGGTGAAAACATCGTCTGAGGGAAGCACCCTAGTAAAACGTAAGCCCCCCTGCCCCCCCACCTCCCGTCTCCCCTCCCCCGCCTCCCCCGCCTCCCCCGCCTCCCCCGCCTCCCCCCCCTCTCCCCGCGCCCCTCAGCATCCCCCCCCCCTGCAATTCCATCCTCCCCACCTTCTGCGGGGCTCGGAATCCCTAAGCGTGGCCTCTGCTACACCATTCCCTTATCTCTGCACGATCCTCCCTCCCCATCCTTACCCTCCCACTCCCACGTCTCCCCTCTTTCCCCCTCCACCTCCCCTTTCTCTCCCCGTTCTCCCACCTCCCCCCTCTCCCCCCCACCCCCCTCCCTTCCCCCCCCCCCCCCCCCCCGGCCTCCTCCCCCACACACACGTAATCCATCCAGCGCTGACCTTTCTGGAGCGCATCCGCTGGGCGATCTTCCGCTCAAACAGCCGCGGGCGCGCCAAGGGCGCAAGGAGAGCGCGCCGCCTCAGCGCGAATGCCGCCGCCCCCGTGTCCTCCGCGCCCGCTGCTGCTGGCGCTGCGGGGAGAGCAAGCATTGACGCGAAGGCGGGGGATCTGGCCGCGGGGAAAGGCGGAGGCGGAGGCGGAGGCGGGATGAGCGTGAGTGATAGCGCCATTACTGTAGGGCGCGGATTGGAGGATGCTGCTGCTAGGGCGGACGTTGCTACCGAACCACGGTCAAAAATAGGTGAGCGGGACGGTTGGTGGCTATTGGGTGCTGGGTATTGGGTATTGGCCGACGGCTGGTGTGACTGTTTAGGTTAGTTGGGGTATGGGGCATGGTGGGTGGCATACGTCCTTTGAGGCGCCTCGGAGGTTGGTTGGGGTATGGGGCATGGTGGGTGGCATGCGGCATGAACCGCCTTGCTTTTGCTTGCCTCGAATTCCACCTTTGAGCGGCCGGAACACCCTCCCCCTCTCCCCTCATCCCCCTCCCCTTCCCCCCCCCAATCCCCGCACTTTTTCCGCATTCTGCCCCCTCACTCTCCCCGCCCGTCTCCTCCGCCGCCCTGGGCATGGATGTGCGGAGCCTGTTCTCCCCCGAGAGCATGGGAAAGGCAGCGGCGCTGGAGAGAGCAGGGGAAGGCAGAGAGCAGGAGAAGGCAGTGGCGGCAGACGACAGAGCGCAGATGAACCCCGTGCTGCTGCAGTGCCGCCACTCCAACCGCCCCTTCCCCTATTCCGTTCCGTGTCCCCATCCGCCCTCATATCCCTGCAGCCCTAGGCATGGATGTGCGGAGAGCCTGTTCACGCCAGAAAGCGTGGAAGCTCTAGAGAAGGCAGTGGCAGCAGACGACATCGCGTCCATGAACCCCGTGCTGCTGCAGTGCCGCCACTCCAACCTCTTCCCCTGCCCCCTTTCCCCTTCCTTTCCCCATCCGTTCCCCATCCTCTCCCCATCCTTCCCCCCATCCCTGCAGCCCTGGGCATGGATGTGCGCAGCCTGTTCACGCCGGAGAGCGTGGAGGCATTAGAAAAAGCAGTGGCAGCAGACGACGTCGCGTCCATGAACCCCGTGCTGCTGCAGTGCCGCCACTCCAACCGCCCCTTCCCCTATTCCGTGTCCCCATCCTTCCCCCTATACCCTGCAGTTCTAGGGATGGATGTGCGCAGCCTGTTCACACCAGAGAGCGTGGAAGCTCTAGAGAAGGCAGTGGCAGCAGACGACATCGCGTCCATGAACCCCGTGCTGCTGCAGTGCCGCCACTCCAACCGCCCCTTCTACGCCGTGCTCCACCGCACCTCCGCTGCCGCTGCCGCTGACGACGCTGCTGCCACCAGCGGCAGCAGCAGCAGCAGCTACAGCATCCCCATCAGCAGCAGCAGCACAATCACCGCCACCACCACCACCACCACCATTGCTACCACTGTCTCTCCTGTCACCACGTCTCCCGTAATCTCAACCCCTGGGGACATAATCAGCATAGACCTAGAGCCGATCACCCCCCTAGACCCCGAGGTGGACGGCCCAGGGGCGCCCCTCACGCACCGGCTGGCCCTCTCCGCCGTGAAGCGGTTACAGCGCGTAACACCCGGTAACATTACAGGTCTGTGCCAGGTGGTGGTGGAGGAGGTGCGACAGCTGACAGGGTATGACAGGGTGGTGGCTTATAAGTTTCACGAGGACGGCCATGGGGAGGTGGTGGCTGAGGACATGCGAGGGAGGAAGGGGAGGAGGGGCGGAGGAGGGAAGGGGAGGAGTGGGAGTGCGGGGGAGGGTGAGGGAGGTGGGAAGGAGGGGGGAGAGGAGGGAGAGCAGGGCGAGCAGGGCGAACAGGGAGAGCAGGGAGAAGATGAGGAAAGGGAGAAGGATAAGAATCAGGAGCAGGGGGAGGGGCAGGAGCAGAGTAAGCACGAGGTGGGGGGGGCGGAGGAGAGTGACATTGACATGGAGCCGATACTAGGGCTACACTTCCCCGCAACGGACGTACCTCAGGCCACCCGCCTCCTCTTCTTCCACACGCGTTCCCGCATGGTGGCGGACTGCCTCTCCCCCTCCGTGCGCCTTCTCCAGCATCCCATCTCCGCCCCGCACGCCCTCAGCCTGGGGGGCTCCACCCTCCGCGCCGTGGACCCCTGCCACGCGCAGTACATGAGCAACATGGGGATCCGCGCGTCCTATGTGCTGGCTATTATCGTGCCCACTAGGGGGCAGAACGCGCAGGAGGGCGGCGGGCACGGGGGGGGAGGGCATGGGGGGAGTCAATATGGGGGGAGCCAGCATGGGGGGAGCCAGGTGGGGCCAGGGGGAGCGGGGGCAGGGGGGTCTGGACGGCTGGATCAACCACAGCTGCAGCAGGGGAAGCAGTCGGGCCCTCTCGCTCGCAGCTCCAGTGCGTCCTCTGGGCCCCGGGGGGGGGGAGCAGCGGACGCAGCGGGGGGAGTGGGGGGAGAGTCGTGGGATGTGCGGTCGGAGGATGGGGGGAGTACGGCGGGGGGAGGGGGCGGGGGAGGGGTAGGGGGAGCGCGGCTGTGGGGGCTGGTGGTGTGCCACCACATGTCGCCGCGAGTGGTGCCGTTCCCCATCCGCTCGGCCTGTGACTTCCTCATGCAGGTAGGTGAGAGGAAGGGGGGCAGGTGAATCTGAGGCAGGTGATACATGTGGCAGCAGGATAGACGTGACTGCAGGTGAGATGCGAATGCAGCTGAGTTCCCCTATCGCCCTGCCCTTCAATTACCCTGTCCTCCCCCCCCTTTCGCTCCTCCCAGGCCATCGGCCTGCAGCTGTCTGTCAGTGGAGCTGGAGATCGCCGCCCAGCTGCACGAGAAGCAGATACTGCAGATCCAGTCGCTGCTGTGCGACAACCCCATCCGCACTGCCATGGCAGTGGACCAAGGACCAAGGGCCAAAGGGCCAAACACTTTCACTCGTTCACTCAACCTGAACCCCACTCCCCCTGTCCCCCCCCCCACACCCCCTATCCCCATCCTTCTCCCAGGCATTCGGCCTGCAGCTGTCAGTGGAGCTGGAGATCGCGGCCCAGCTGCACGAGAAGCATATCCTGCAGATCCAGTCGCTCCTGTGCGACACGCTACTCACCGACAACCCCATCCGCGCGCTCGTCTCCTCCGCGCCCAACATCACCGACCTCCTCCCCTGCGACGGCGCCGCCGTGGTCTTCCGCGGGGAGGTGTCCCGCTTGGGCGTGGCCCCCTCGGAGGAGATGATTGGGGAGCTCATTAGGTGGCTGCAGAAGGAGCACTGCGGGTCGAGCGGGTTGAGCACGGATAGCTTGAAGGGTGCAGGGTTCCCGCATGCGGAGGCGCTGGGCGTGGACGTGTGCGGCATGGCTGTCGTGTGCTTCTCCCCGAGTGACGAGCAGCAGCAGCAGCAGAACAGGGATGCTGCCTCTCCTGCATCCACAACATCAGCAGCAGTGGCAGGGGGCGGTGGCCCCAGTGCGACGGGCGGCGACTACCTGTTCTGGTTCCGGTCGCACGTGGAGAAGCACATCACGTGGAGCGGTGCCCGCCACGACCCCAAGGACGTGGACGACGTGAAGCGCCGCAACCCGCGCGCCTCCTTCAAGAGCTTCCTGGAGGTGGTCAGGCATAGTTCGCAGCCGTGGGTGGATGTGGAGCTGGACGCGGTGCACAGCCTTCAAGATCTGCTGTGCAAGTCGGTCAGGCGCAAGGAGAGCACGGGACGCCTGATTACGATGGGCAAGGAGGTGAGTGTATTTTGAGTCGACTCAAAAGGTGTATTTTGAGTCGACTCAAAAGGTCTGATTACGATGGGCAAGGAGGTGAGAGTATTTTGAGTCGACTCCCAAGGTGTATTTTGAGTCGACTCAAAAGGTGTATTTTGAGTCGACTCAAAATACACCTAATTACGATGGGCAAGGAGGTGAGTGAGAGCCGTGAGCAGGTGAGTGTTGCGAGGACTGGGGCACGACCCCCCCAAGGACGTGGATGACGTGCAGTGCCGCAACCCGAGCGCCTCTTTCAAGAGCTTCTTGGAGGTGGTCAGGCATAGGTCGCAGCCGTGGGTGGATGTGGAGGTGGACGCCGTGCACAGCCTGCAGGACCTGCCGTGCAGGTCGGTGCGGAGGAAGGCGCCTAAAAAATAGACTCCTCGCGCATCTATTTTTGAGGCACCTCAAAAATGGACCTGCCGTGCAGGTCGGTGCACAGGAAGGAGAGCACGGGGCGGCTCATCACCATGTGCAAGGAGGTGAGACTCTTGAAGCGTGAATTGTCGTCAGGCACCAGTCAGGCACCGGTCAGACGGCAGCTGATCAGCATGTATTGTCCTTCAAATCGTTCCTAAAGGTCGTCAGGCACAGGCAACGCATATAGTGGTCAAGACTCTCAGAATCGTGTTGTGAGTCGTGCGTTGCAGCAGCCCAACTAGTTCGTTTCTGGACGTGGTGGGGCGGCTGATCACGATGGGCAAGCAAGCAGGTGAGTGGATGAGGCGCGTCAGAGCGAGACCATCCCCTCCCACATGGCTCCATGAGATGCCCTGCTCTGCCATTATGAGCTGGGCCATGATCTGCCCTGCTCTGCCATTATGAGCTGGGCCATGATCTGCCTGCTCTGCCATTATGAGCTGGGCCATGATCTGCCCTGCTCTGCCATTATGAGCTGGGCCATGATCTGCCCTGCTCTGCCATTATGAGCTGGGCCATGATCTGCCTGCTCTGCCATTATGAGCTGGGCCATGATCTGCCCTGCTCTGCCATTATGAGCTGGGCCATGATCTGCCCTGCTCTGCCATTATGAGCTGGGCCATGATCTGCCCTGCTCTGCCATTATGAGCTGGGCCATGATCTGCCCTGCTCTGCCATTATGAGCTGGGCCATGATCTGCCCTGCTCTGCCATTATGAGCTGGGCCATGATCTGCCTGCTCTGCCATTATGAGCTGGGCCATGATCTGCCCTGCTCTGCCATTATGAGCTGGGCCATGATCTGCCCTGCTCTGCCATTATGAGCTGGGCCATGATCTGCCCTGCTCTGCCATTATGAGCTGGGCCATGATCTGCCTGCTCTGCCATTATGAGCTGGGCCATGATCTGCCCTGCTCTGCCATTATGAGCTGGGCCATGATCTGCCCTGCTCTGCCATTATGAGCTGGGCCATGATCTGCCCTGCTCTGCCATTATGAGCTGGGCCATGATCTGCCCTGCTCTGCCATTATGAGCTGGGCCATGATCTGCCCTGCTCTGCCATTATGAGCTGGGCCATGATCTGCCCTGCTCTGCCATTATGAGCTGGGCCATGATCTGCCCTGCTCTGCCATTATGAGCTGGGCCATGATCTGCCCTGCTCTGCCATTATGAGCTGGGCCATGATCTGCCCTGCTCTGCCATTATGAGCTGGGCCATGATCTGCCCTGCTCTGCCATTATGAGCTGGGCCATGATCTGCCCTGCTCTGCCATTATGAGCTGGGCCATGATCTGCCCTGCTCTGCCATTATGAGCTGGGCCATGATCTGCCCTGCTCTGCCATTATGAGCTGGGCCATGATCTGCCCTGCTCTGCCATTATGAGCTGGGCCATGATCTGCCCTGCTCTGCCATTATGAGCTGGGCCATGATCTGCCCTGCTCTGCCATTATGAGCTGGGCCATGATCTGCCCTGCTCTGCCATTATGAGCTGGGCCATGATCTGCCCTGCTCTGCCATTATGAGCTGGGCCATGATCTGCCCTGCTCTGCCATTATGAGCTGGGCCATGATCTGCCCTGCTCTGCCATTATGAGCTGGGCCATGATCTGCCCTGCTCTGCCATTATGAGCTGGGCCATGATCTGCCCTGCTCTGCCATTATGAGCTGGGCCATGATCTGCCCTGCTCTGCCATTATGAGCTGGGCCATGATCTGCCCTGCTCTGCCATTATGAGCTGGGCCATGATCTGCCCTGCTCTGCCATTATGAGCTGGGCCATGATCTGCCCTGCTCTGCCATTATGAGCTGGGCCATGATCTGCCCTGCTCTGCCATTATGAGCTGGGCCATGATCTGCCCTGCTCTGCCATTATGAGCTGGGCCATGATCTGCCCTGCTCTGCCATTATGAGCTGGGCCATGATCTGCCCTGCTCTGCCATTATGAGCTGGGCCATGATCTGCCCTGCTCTGCCATTATGAGCTGGGCCATGATCTGCCCTGCTCTGCCATTATGAGCTGGGCCATGATCTGCCCTGCTCTGCCATTATGAGCTGGGCCATGATCTGCCCTGCTCTGCCATTATGAGCTGGGCCATGATCTGCCCTGCTCTGCCATTATGAGCTGGGCCATGATCTGCCCTGCTCTGCCATTATGAGCTGGGCCATGATCTGCCCTGCTCTGCCATTATGAGCTGGGCCATGATCTGCCTGCTCTGCCATTATGAGCTGGGCCATGATCTGCCCTGCTCTGCCATTATGAGCTGGGCCATGATCTGCCCTGCTCTGCCATTATGAGCTGGGCCATGATCTGCCCTGCTCTGCCATTATGAGCTGGGCCATGATCTGCCCTGCTCTGCCATTATGAGCTGGGCCATGATCTGCCCTGCTCTGCCATTATGAGCTGGGCCATGATCTGCCCTGCTCTGCCATTATGAGCTGGGCCATGATCTGCCCTGCTCTGCCATTATGAGCTGGGCCATGATCTGCCCTGCTCTGCCATTATGAGCTGGGCCATGATCTGCCCTGCTCTGCCATTATGAGCTGGGCCATGATCTGCCCTGCTCTGCCATTATGAGCTGGGCCATGATCTGCCCTGCTCTGCCATTATGAGCTGGGCCATGATCTGCCTGCTCTGCCATTATGAGCTGGGCCATGATCTGCCTGCTCTGCCATTATGAGCTGGGCCATGATCTGCCTGCTCTGCCATTATGAGCTGGGCCATGATCTGCCCTGCTCTGCCATTATGAGCTGGGCCATGATCTGCCCTGCTCTGCCATTATGAGCTGGGCCATGATCTGCCCTGCTCTGCCATTATGAGCTGGGCCATGATCTGCCCTGCTCTGCCATTATGAGCTGGGCCATGATCTGCCTGCTCTGCCATTATGAGCTGGGCCATGATCTGCCCTGCTCTGCCATTATGAGCTGGGCCATGATCTGCCCTGCTCTGCCATTATGAGCTGGGCCATGATCTGCCCTGCTCTGCCATTATGAGCTGGGCCATGATCTGCCCTGCTCTGCCATTATGAGCTGGGCCATGATCTGCCCTGCTCTGCCATTATGAGCTGGGCCATGATCTGCCCTGCTCTGCCATTATGAGCTGGGCCATGATCTGCCTGCTCTGCCATTATGAGCTGGGCCATGATCTGCCCTGCTCTGCCATTATGAGCTGGGCCATGATCTGCCCTGCTCTGCCATTATGAGCTGGGCCATGATCTGCCCTGCTCTGCCATTATGAGCTGGGCCATGATCTGCCCTGCTCTGCCATTATGAGCTGGGCCATGATCTGCCCTGCTCTGCCATTATGAGCTGGGCCATGATCTGCCCTGCTCTGCCATTATGAGCTGGGCCATGATCTGCCTGCTCTGCCATTATGAGCTGGGCCATGATCTGCCCTGCTCTGCCATTATGAGCTGGGCCATGATCTGCCCTGCTCTGCCATTATGAGCTGGGCCATGATCTGCCCTGCTCTGCCATTATGAGCTGGGCCATGATCTGCCCTGCTCTGCCATTATGAGCTGGGCCATGATCTGCCCTGCTCTGCCATTATGAGCTGGGCCATGATCTGCCCTGCTCTGCCATTATGAGCTGGGCCATGATCTGCCCTGCTCTGCCATTATGAGCTGGGCCATGATCTGCCTGCTCTGCCATTATGAGCTGGGCCATGATCTGCCCTGCTCTGCCATTATGAGCTGGGCCATGATCTGCCTGCTCTGCCATTATGAGCTGGGCCATGATCTGCCTGCTCTGCCATTATGAGCTGGGCCATGATCTGCCTGCTCTGCCATTATGAGCTGGGCCATGATCTGCCCTGCTCTGCCATTATGAGCTGGGCCATGATCTGCCCTGCTCTGCCATTATGAGCTGGGCCATGATCTGCCCTGCTCTGCCATTATGAGCTGGGCCATGATCTGCCCTGCTCTGCCATTATGAGCTGGGCCATGATCTGCCCTGCTCTGCCATTATGAGCTGGGCCATGATCTGCCTGCTCTGCCATTATGAGCTGGGCCATGATCTGCCCTGCTCTGCCATTATGAGCTGGGCCATGATCTGCCCTGCTCTGCCATTATGAGCTGGGCCATGATCTGCCTGCTCTGCCATTATGAGCTGGGCCATGATCTGCCCTGCTCTGCCATTATGAGCTGGGCCATGATCTGCCTGCTCTGCCATTATGAGCTGGGCCATGATCTGCCTGCTCTGCCATTATGAGCTGGGCCATGATCTGCCCTGCTCTGCCATTATGAGCTGGGCCATGATCTGCCCTGCTCTGCCATTATGAGCTGGGCCATGATCTGCCCTGCTCTGCCATTATGAGCTGGGCCATGATCTGCCCTGCTCTGCCATTATGAGCTGGGCCATGATCTGCCCTGCTCTGCCATTATGAGCTGGGCCATGATCTGCCCTGCTCTGCCATTATGAGCTGGGCCATGATCTGCCCTGCTCTGCCATTATGAGCTGGGCCATGATCTGCCCTGCTCTGCCATTATGAGCTGGGCCATGATCTGCCCTGCTCTGCCATTATGAGCTGGGCCATGATCTGCCTGCTCTGCCATTATGAGCTGGGCCA